GTGGATATGTGGATGTGGAGAGAGGTGGAAGACAAACGATTATTTTGTGTGGATGCGTGTGGACAACTTATTAATACATGAGGATGGTAAGGGTTTTTTGTGTGGATGAGTTTGTATGTGTGGATTGGAGTGCAAAGGTGAGTGTGTTTTGTGTGTTTGTATGAAGTAGTCTGTCTGTGTATGAGAGGAAGGGTGAGTAGAAGTGAGGGAAATATGAGACAGTGTGTGGAAGGTATTTGTGTGGATGAGGATGGGAAGACGGGGGTGTCTTACGTATGTCGATGAGTGTGTATATGTCTGTAGTTTTGTGCGTGTGTGTGTGTTGTTCATGTGTCTGCAAGCGTGTGTGTAAATTTGAACTGAGATATGCACTTGAATGGGAGAGGGCGCCTGTATGCCTGTGTGAATACGGAACCCTGTTCATATTTGCGCGAAGAATTTTACGTATAATTGAGTAAGCGTATTTGCGTATGAGTATTCGTACGCACTGGTGTGTATGAAACAATATTTAATAAATAAAGAGAAATGAGAATTGCATAGCGGCAACAAAGAGTTTCCTAACTGTAACCGTGCTTTTGTTTATTTGTGCTAATGTATTGTATTTGCGTAGACGAGCCTCGCCCTTTGACGTTATGTACATCGATAAACGCGAATGATTTTGTAAGTCGACTAACATTTCGTGGCATGTGTGAAGAAATTAGAAATAATTATGGTGCTGGTGATAATGGAGATAGATTAATGTGAGACATGTTAGTAGAGGAAGAAGAGAACAAAAAAACATCAGAAATGATAACACTACAGATCTTCATTATAATTATCATAAAATTATCAGTATGATCATAATTATCATTATAATCAATAACAATATTGTCATCATCGTCACTGTCACCATCATCTCATCCGTACCAGAAAGAAGAGAGGGGAGAAGGAGAGAGAGAGAGAGAGAGAGAGAGAGAGAGAGAGAGAGAGAGAGAGAGAGAGAGAGAGAGAGAGAGGAGAGAGAGAAGGGGGGAGAGAGAGCAGAAGAGAGAGAGAGACAGACAGAGAGAGAGTGAGAGAGAGAGAGAGAGAGGAGAGAGAGAGAGAGAGAGAGAGAGAGAGAGAGAGAGAGAGAGAGAGAGAGAGAGAGAGAGAGAGAGAGAGAGAGAGAGAGACAGAGAGAGAGAAAGTGGGGGGGAGAGGGGGGAGGGAGAGAGAGAGAGAGAGAGGAGAGGGGGGAGCGAGGGAGCGAGGGAGAAAGAGAGGGGGGGAGGGAGGGAGGAAAGGAGAGAGAGGGGGGGGGAGGAAAGAAGAGAGAGAGAGACAGACAGACAGACAGACAGACAGAGACAGAGAGAGAGAAAGAAAGAAAGAGAGAGAGAGAGAAGGAATAACGCATCGTCTCGGCTCTTGCTGCCGATATTTAAGTCAAGTAGAATTAATTGTCTGACTCTTGATACCATAGTTCTGTTCATAACGTAATAACGGTTTGATAACAGTATTCCTTCTGCTTCACTGTACTTATCTTTTCTCTTTCTTTCTTTTTTTTATCAATCCTGGTTTAGATACACAGCTATATATATATATATATATATATATATATATATATATATATATATATATATATATATATAATATATATATATATATATGATATAGGACCCATACTTAAAAATAGCTTTCTCTTGTTCAGCATTTCGGATGAATAAAACTGGCATATTTTTGGTTTGGTTGGTGGTGGCCACTTTGAACTCACTCGTGGACTTCATAAATGTGAAAGAGAACCAGAGAACCTAAATGTATTCAAATTTCGAAATTCTATTTCTTTTTATTAATTAATTTATTTTATTCATATCATTTATTCATTATATATTATTATTATTATTATTTATTATTATTATTATCATTATTGTTATTATTATTATTATTATTGCTCTCGTAGTCTTTGCATCAATAAAAAGCAGTTTTTGGTTAGTGTCCTATGGTATTAAATAATATTATAAAATTGTCTACGATTCTCTGACGTACATTATGAATTAGTTATTTTTATCTAAAGCTGAGCATGTGATTATCGTCTTAACTTTCTTGTTATTCTGGTTATCCTCGTTACTACTATTCTATTTTTTTCTTTGTCCTCTTTTTATATTACATTTTTCAAGGTACTTCTGTAATAAGAAACAATTATGTGGCTTTCATGGTCAAATTATGTGGATGTTTAAAGCCAGCCTTTGTCCTGCCGTGTGAATTTTGCGTCAAAGTGCGGTTATGTGGAATACCTAAAAGTGTAAGCATTTGTGGTGTATTAGGACAGCTTAGTTCTTAGTATTTTAGGATGTCTCATAAAATACCTTGGGATTTTATACGTATATCCATGCTTTTTGTCCATAAGGCATTTTTTCCAATACAATTAGACATATGAGTGCTTTAAGGTGTGTTGATGATTCAGGTTTATTAGAAATTATTGACATGGGTAACTTTTGATTATAATGTGTAATCAAAAGACCTGATTCTCAATATCAATTATTGTGGTTATTT